GAGTATCAGCTCAGAGGTGGCATTTGAGGCTGTAATGGCATGCAGGGTGCTAGTTGCTGGCAGCTTTGGTTTTGTGAATATAGGAGGCTGCCTCTTGCTGTTGGTGCGACAGGATGTGAATAATGGTCAGTTTCCACAGGAAATAGACCTCCTTCCCACAGTGTCCTGTGGACAGGTCACAGGTAGTGTTTGGGGCTTCAAAGTCAGTCAGAGTTGTGGGAAATAGTAAAGGGAAAAAGGTTTTTAGAAACTTGGGAAGCGTGGTCTTTAGAAACAGAAACAGTAGAGAAACTTAGAATTAGTTTTAGTTGTTTAGTTTGAAGGTAGAAAAAGTTATAATAGTATAGTAAGCAAGAATATGAAACAATAGTTTGAGTTTTAGGCTTGGTCAAGATAGATTTTAAGATTGTAGAAAAATGTGTTTAGCAAGATAGTAGAAGGTTGTAAGTTTAATAATGGTGTGTTGTTAATAGAAAGAAGTAAGTATTGTGCAAAATGTATGTGTATTTTTAGTAATTGGTTAAAACAACTGTCTGTAAGCTTTAGTAAAAAGTTATTGGTTAAAAAGTTTTTAAGATGCTCTGTAACAAAGTAATCTTCGGCTGTTGTTGGGTGTATGTGAACTTTGTTATTTTTTTATTGTCTCAACTTTGTTATGAGGTTGATGTTGCAAATAAAGCTTAAGGAATTAGCAGTCTTGTTTTGTTTGTGAGGGGAAAAAAAAACTCTGCCAACATAAATGGTGCCCTTTCATAATCCTCAGTATAAAACCCTGTCACATCATGATACTAAGAAACTTCAAATAATAAAAGATAGCAAGCTAGCTTCTCCTTGTTTTGAAAATGTAGTGAAAAATATTTTTAGCCTTATCCCAACAGATGATCATAATGTAGCCTCTGTGATTTTCCCTAATTCACAATACATTTTATAAAATAGAAAAAACTTTTCAACAAGTTATTTGAAAAATATGTGAATAGTCCTTATATTCATTTCACTATTACTCAATTGACTAACAAAAATCCATATGACAAAACCAAAGACCAAACAACTAACCTACCTAAACCTGTACTTACAGATATTAAAAATACTACAAGAAAAACATTATTCACTATTGAACCAACAAATAGTCATGTAACTGCTTACTCTACAATAATACAAAGTGAGTAAAAAAACCTACAGTACTTTTTAAAATCAACTAACACAAGCTGTTAGAAACGTGTCCAAACAAAGAAACACACCCCTACATTTCTAAAAAAACCTTACTTTTACTAATAAAAATGAAGAATACTACAAAGTTATTCTAACTTTATCTAACCAACCTCCAACTGTTCCTCAAATACTTTCAGCTTATAATAAACACCCCACAACACTTTACTAAAATACGACTGAATACTTTTAGAGAACAGAATCTCAAGAAAAATGAAGACAAAAGCCAATAGAAAGAAGACAAGTAAGTATTGTGTGAAGCAGGTGTATGTGTGCTTTTAGTAACTGGCTAAAACAACTGTTTGTAAGCTTTAGCAATATGCTGTTGGATAAAAAGTTTTTAAGAAAGATGCTCTGTAACTAAGAAACCTTTGGCTGCTGCTGGCTGTACATGAACTTTGCCATGTTCCTATTGTCTCAACCACGTAATGAGGCTGATGCTGCAAATAAAGCTCAAGGAACATACCCCAGCAGTCCCATCCCGTTTGTGAGGAAAAAATAACCACCCAACACAAGAGTCCTCTTTCCTGGCAGCTTTGTTCTGGGATAAATCCTGTGTCTTTTGCCAGTTTAGGAGGTGGCACACCTCTGTTGGCCCTATGCAACTGGGTGTGAACAGTGGCCATTTTCCATCGGAGGAAAACCTAATTCCTTCAGTGTCTCAGGGTCAGCTCAGAGTGGCGCTTGTGGCTCCAAGGGCAGCCAGAGTCCTCACTGTTGGAAGCTTTGTTCTGGGAGATGTCCTGCGAAGTGTATGAATTTAGGAGTGATTTAAAGCCATGTGGATGTAGTGCTTGGGGACATGGGACAGTGGTGGCCTTGGCACCCCCAGGCACTGTGAGCTCAGAAGGCTTCTCCAACTGGAATGATTCTGTGATTCCAAGGACACCCTATACATGACCAGCACAGACACCTGTGCCTGCTGCAAACATCATTTCACTTCCTCTCCTTCACTTGGCTGCCATGTATTCCCTGGCAACAGGGAGCATGGAAGCAGTCCTTGCTGCTGGAGAAGCCAGCAGGATTAGACCAAATTCCCTTCAGAAAGAGCTGACAGGATCCAGCCAGTCCTGTCCCCAGCTGCTTGGGAAGCTCCCAGTCCTTTCCAATGGCAAAAGAGAGGGAAATCTCCTCATGTGGAGGGACAATGACACGAGAGCTGTGGGGCAGAGCAGCAGACACTGGAGAGGACGTGCAACACCAGGGCTTTCCAAAGGAACATCTGCCAGATCAACCCCCAGGACCTGTGGAAAAAATTTTCCAGCTGAATTGTGAGTCCATCTATTCCTGTCTTCCACTCACAGACCTTCCAGTGATGGTCAGGCGCTGCTCTGGATGGAAGAACCCCTCTTTTTTAAGGGATAAACAGATAATGAAGACCTTTCCATGATTTGGAAGCATTTTTAGATGTGAGAGACTTGGATTTTAAAAAATCTGTACATAATTTACCAAATATTACCTAATTCTGAGAGTTGATTTTGCAGCTTTTTTTGTTTTATCAAACAGAATCTTCAGCAAGTAGTTTATTAAAATTTAGAGCACTTTTCCAGCAAGACTGACAGCCAGAATAACAGAATCAGGCCCTGGTGTGGTGCTGTGCATAGAGCATTGAAGATACTCTGTGCCTCTTTGCTGTGTACATGTGCAATGAGAAGGCCAGGTTTTGCCTCTCACCTCGTGAAATCTTGCCTACTTGTCTGTCATAGGGTGGCACTGCACACTAAAATATAGAGGACACTCCCCAAAAATACTCAGTGTGTGCAATGAGAAAAAGGCCAGGTTTTGCCTCCCACCTGGTGAAATCTTGCCTACTTGTCTTTGTCATAGGGTGGCACTGCACACTAAAATATAGAGGACACTCCCCAAAAATACTCAGTTGTGTTTGCAGCAGGTCTTTGACATAACTTCTGATCATGTGGTGTATTTTTAGATTGCCCAGAATATTTTTTATTGATTTGCCTTTTTATAAAAATATTGCTGTTGTTGCTGTTGTTTGGTTTGGTTTTTTTATGGAAAGTTTTAACTACCTGAAAAGAGTTGCTTGTATGTGATACCATCCCAGAGTACCAGGAAACAGAAAACGGTAACGAGAAGTTAAGGAGCAGAAAAAAATGGTGAGGGAGACTATTCTAGCAACAGAAGTGTGATCAGTGCATGCTACAATAGCAGAGAATTAAAAGAAAATAAAGAGGCACTGCCACCACAACCTGAAGTCCTAAAGACTCAACTTCACACTCAAGTTGTTCCCCCTTGGAGAGAAAGGGAGTGGAAAAGAGAAAATGGAAAATTTTCCAGTGGAAAATGCTGAGGAGAGAAGAGTGAATGTACTCTGCATCCAGTTACTTACCTGTCTGCTGTAACCTGCTTGAGAATCTCTCTCTTCGAATAATCCACTTGGAAAAATCTGACTCACCTTCCATTTTGTGGTCTTAAATATCACCCTAACGATGATCAGGAACCATCACTGCAGTGCAGTTTAAGATCCAAATTTTACTACTTTCATGCAGATGGTATTTGAACAAAAAGTTGAGGGAAATACTACATCCTTTCAAGCTGCTATGGCAAAGACTGCTTTTTGTATTTCTCCCCCTTTACCTCAATTAATGATTTTCCTCTTTTTTAAAAATATTATATATGCAGTGTCACTTGATAGCACTAGAAGTAAAAAATCTTCATCTTACTTCCCAGGAAGGGTAGAAAACATCTGTTTATTGAATCATAAGAAAGGAAAGGTCCTTGAGAAATTTACCATTTGTCTACACAAATCATAGTTCTTACACTGGTCATGTGCATTTTCTTATAATGGAAATAGTATGGAGAAGCAATGAACATCAAATGCAGCTCACAGGAAGTGACAGATTCCAGGGGTTTATTTTTCTTTCCTATCCAATCCAACATCAAACATTCACTCTCATTTTACTTGCTAAAAAGGGGGAAAGAAAAAATAATACATTAAATTAATAAAATGCACATAAACCCCAACAGGAATGGATAAGGAAAATAACATGTTTGGATATGACCAAAAAGTCTGACTTCTGACAGGCAATCCATGTGTTTGAAGGGATGGGTTTTTTGAAGTCTGGTTTGGAAGCCCTCCTAAACTAGTTTGATCAAACATCTGCCATGCTCTAAAGAATATTCATTATTAAGAATATGGCTGCTAAAGAATATGGATTATCCTTAACCCCGTGGTCTTGTGGTCTATACAGGTCAGACTACAGAGTGACACAGAGTGATGTGGCCATGCTGCTGCATGCCATGAAAATCTCTATGCTGGTATAGGTGAATTTATTGGAATCACAGGACTGCTCACCACCTCTTCTAGTTAAACTGTGTGACTTGCACACTGGAGACTGCTAAATTTAAACTTTCCCCCTTAATCTTTGGGCTTAGTGTTTTGGCTAATTGCTTTATAGAAAACACTGGCCACAAGGGTTTAGCTGATGGACTGATGAAGGGGCCTTGAATTTGATTAAGAAATTGGTAGTTTAGGTGCTCTCTGCATCTGCTGTCCTCTCTCCTTGCAGCACAGGCAGAGCAGAGCATGTGCCTGGGAAGCTGCCCCTTCAAGTCAGGATTGGAGAGAGATGCAAGGAGGGGATTGCACAAGCTAAAGCTCACATACACACATGAGGTGGCTGGGGCTGGCAGCCTGGCTTGGTCTTTCACAAGAAGCAAGCTTTGGGCAACTGGGGTAACAGTGTTTGAAGCTGCTGCAGCAGCACATTCCTGTGAGTGCCTGTCAGGCTTGAGGAACCTAGGAGTGCTGGGTTGGATTCTGGCTGCATCATCACCTACGAGTCCCTAGCAGCAGTTGGAGCCATAGGAGCTCCTGGCGTGGTGGTACCCACCTGCAGGGCCCTGCCCTTGGTCTCGATGGGCAGTGTCACTGCAGAGATGGCACAGATGATGCACACAGAGGAGAAGAGACACAGGGCTCCCAAGAAAGAAGCGCTCATAAGAACCTGCAGGTCAAAGAACATCAAACAGCAGCTCGTTGGTGTGGGGGGCTGGCACTTAATTAGCAATTAAGAGTGGACAAAGGTCACAAGTGTCTGAGAGACTCCACAGTGGAAAAAATCAGTATCTTGTGAACCTTAAGACTTTCAGAAAGTATCAAATACTAGTGAGCTGAGCTCTGTGATGAGAGTTACTCAAAGCTTCATCTGGCAAGGACCACCCAAGCACTCCGTGTATGGGGTTGGGAGGGAATTGATTATATCCTCCCTTTTTTGGAGATGAATTTCAGTGACATCTCTGAATTTGATCGTAGTGTTCAGCACAATGTTTACCAACATTATCAAGCATGCTCTTACTTGTGATATAAATGGAGCCACCATTGCTCCCACACGGCACAATGCCCCACTTGTCCCCATCCCCAGCGCTCGCATTGTGGTGGGATAAACCTAAAACAGACCAGAAATTAATTGGGTTAGTGCAACAGCAATCTGCAATATCTGTACTTTTCTTTTTAATTTTTTTTTTTTTTTAATCAGAGAGACCCATTGTGTTATCAAGGGTAGCTGATGGGATAAGATATGAAAAGAAATAAAAGCTCCCTGGGGCCTCATTTGAGCCATTACAAATCTCTCATTTTTTGCCCCAAGTAAAGTTTTAGGGCAAGTCAAAGCTGGATGTGATTCCCCTTTGTTTAGCACCACTACCACCACTTTATTTCCTGGCTCTGTGATCAAAATCACAGATGCTAAAGGAAAAATTTTGATTATACTGCTGGGCCCCCCTGTATCTGGGAAGCAGGAAGAAAAGATATCGTCTGCAGAGTTCAAGTCTGCCTATTCATTTTTATCAACAGCACCTTTGTTTAGAGGATGAAAAAGAAAAACAGATCCCAGTAAGAAGTATTCAGGCTTAGAAGAATGTGCTTTGTGTTGTTTATCTTTGACACCTCCCAAACACCTGTGCTAATGAAACAAATAAGAATTTTACTGAACTTTTAGTCTTAATATCAATGGATTTTAGCAAGTATACTCATATAAGCCTTTGTTTAAATACTTTACTGGGCCAATAAAATTGAGTAAGTTATTCAAGAAGAGTCCAGGCACTTGGCTCAAAAGATTTTGATCATTGATTAAATTGTGAGTAGGATTGATTTATGGTATGGCTGTTACAGAGATGGTCTTTACATCAACAGCAACTTACTCAAAACTGCTAAAATTGTGGTATTAAAGCCAGGTGCAAGTTTAAATATTACAGTGCACTATTAAAAGTGCAAGGGAGCTACTTCTGTTTGCTTTGGATCACTTTAGTCAACTAATAAGGAAATCCATTTAACACCATACAATTGTTTTTAAAAAAGAGAACAAAAAACCTCAACAATTTAAACTTAACTCACAGAACTCATGACTCCAAAGTTGTATGAAGGAAAAGCTCTTTAAAGTGTTAAAACCTTTTGCAGAGAGAACATACCAATTTCCATTAAGGGAAAAGAATCATACATATAACACCATATACTACCTCATACAGTCCCTTAAGTGGTGAAAAATGTTCCTTTTAGTGATAGTCTGTTTTCTCACTGTGGGGGTTAAATAAGGGAAAGATTGTGGGTTTTGGAAGATAGTGGTACCCAACATCCTCAAAAATGTTTTATAGGAGCTGAGCGACAGCTGGCTTAGTAGGGCACTCCTCTTCCATCTACTCCTGTCATCTCCAAGCTGATTTTCTGATTCCTCCTTTTATCTTGCATATGAAAACACTGCAGACAAGATGCCAAGAGAGAGACAGTTCTAGGAAGGTGACTCTTAACTAGTCTCTAAGCTAGCAGGGAGCATTCCTGGGTATACACAAATGGTATTTGAAGCCTCCAAGCAGCTCAACATACCTCAAGCAGAACCCACCTCTGCCGTGTAAATGTAGATGGTGTTGAAGTTGGCTGAAACCAAGGCACGCAGCATGAAGAGAAAGCCAACCATGCCTGCACTGGAGAGAAAGCCATGTGGAGCAGAGTTAATGTCACCAAGCAGCATCAGCAGAGATGCCAGAAAGAAAGAAATGGGGGGAAAAAAGGGAATGAAAAATATAACTCCTTTCCAGTGCATGTTGTTCACACATTTTTTAATTTTCTGGACTGTGCCAGAAAGCAGCTTGTTGGATGCTTAGGGGAAGCCATGTGGGCTCAGTAATACAAGTGAGCCCCTCTGCACACCACTGCAGCACAGAATCTGCTGCCACAGCTTTCCCAGGAAAAGGACAGCCAGTCAGAGGCTTTTCTTAGACCTACAAGCCTGACAGACTGGTGATGTGAGAATACCAGATGTCCTGCCCTCAGCATTATACACCCTCAAACAAGACCCATAGTCTGAGCCAGAGTACCTTGAGGTGCAGATATTAAGGAGAAGAAAGAATAGAGCTGTACATCCCATGGTGATACACAGGCTTAGACGTCTTCCGAGGAGGTTGATGCTGAGAATGTTCACAGGATTCACTGGAAGTAAAAAGGAAAATCGTGAAACATTTGATGATCTAACTGCAATAATTGTCTGCCTTGACAGACCTTACACAGTGTGACTCAGAGATATCTGTCTTCATGACCAGTGCCTACCAAACATCCTGTAAAATGCACAAACTATCATTCTCTTCTTGCACCCAAAGTTTGTGATTTGCCTCCGTGCCCCTCCTTCCCCTGTGCTTCTCTGAAATTGGCTATGCTGAGGCAGGACACCAAAGTCTGTTCTGAGCCATGCAAGGAAGGCACGGCTGGGTGAGCAGCACAGGCCTGGGTGGTTTTGCTCCTTCTGCCCACTACCCAGCCCAACACCAGGGCCTGAGGTGTGTCCCACCGAGTGCCCTGCTGAGCCAGGAGCCACAGGCTCGTGGCCCATATCCCAGAGCAGTGCCCAGTTTGTGTCAGCCCCTGTCACCAAGTGCACACACAGCTCAAACCTTTGCAGCGAGCACTGCGAGAGGGGAATGGCAGGGCAGGGAAGGGGGAAGGGGTTACGTGCGATCTCCCCGACTGTGCTGATGATCATGGTCTGGTAGGCAGCAGGCCCAAACAAGTGGCAGTGGCAGGGGCTGTGGCTCTCCTCAGAGTCATCGCTGGAGTCCTGCAGCGGTGGGGCTGCAGAGCCACAGACAATGTCCCACTCCAGCAGCTCAGCACTGGCCAAGATGACGCCGTAATAAGCGAAAGCTATGCCAAGCCTGTGGGAGAAATGCTACAGTGAGGTGCAGATGTGATGGGGAAGGTGAGGAAACTCAAATGCAGCTGGTTTGGGGTGCCCTGGAATATCTGCTGCTGCTTGCACCAGCTCTGCATGATGGAACCCCTTAGCCTGAGCAGAGAGGTGGCCCAGGCATCCACCAGGCCACTGGTCACCTGTCCCATGGCACTGCCCTCCTACCTATGTCCAGGCACTGCTCTTTCTCAGTAAACAGCACCCCAGCTCATTGCTCAGCTTTTGTATTGGGTTTGCATGGCCAGGTTTTGGTAGTGGGTTGGGGCGACAGGGCTGGATTTTATTCAGGGGAATAGAATTCAGCTTCTCTTCAGGGGAAGCTTCTGGAAGCTTTCTCCATGCCTGACAGAGCCGATGCCAGCTGACTCCAGCTGCTGACCAAGGCTGAGCCCATCAGCAATACTGGTAGTGCCTTGGGGATAACATTTGTTAGAACTGGAAAAAACTATGCAAGAGCAACAGCAGCCAGAGAAAGAAGTGAAAACATGTGTGAGAAACATCCCTGCAAACGCCGAAATCAGTAAATAATGAAAGGCAGGAGGCGATCCAGGTGCAAAACCAGAGATTCCCATGCTTCCCATGGTGCAGACCACGGAGGGGCAGCTGTGCCCCTGCAGCCCATGGAAGTCCACAGTGGAGCAGAGATCCACCTGCAGCCTTTGGAGGTTCTCATGCCAAAACATGTGGATGCCTGAAAGAGGCTGTGACCCCATGGGAAGCCTATGCTGGAACAGGTTTGCTGGCAGGACTTGTGACCCCCTGGGGGACCCAGGTGAGGGTGGCCGTGCTTTGTCATTATCAAGTAATTCAGAATACAGCTGATCATAAGCAGGCTGAAAAGTAATTTTCACTTTTTTATCCCCCCTGGCAGTTTCAGAAATGAGCAGCAGAATTTGGGCCACCTGGGAAGGCAGGGAATGCAGTGGGGGATGAAAATGCAGAACTGAGAACATACCAGGAACTCCTGGGATGACTAGGAGACAAAGAAAGATAAAAAACCAAAAAGATATTTCATAACTCTCATAGAAGTCAAGGGGAAAAAAAAAACATAAAAAATTCAAGGCCTGACTTCACAACATTTTGGGTCAATGGGTTCCTACAGACCTATTATTTATACATTTCCATTCCAGAGAGCAAAGCCAATGAAACATGTATTACCCTTGCACAGAGCTACTGGGAACACTGCATATGAAACCTGTCTCCTCAGTCAATTTCCCCCAGTGAGTAGCACTGATAATGGTCAATGTGTTTCTGTCAGAGCCCTGTATCACCGCTCCTTTGGCCATCCTTGGGGAGAATAAGTTTTCCCCAAGCAGGGAAGGAGAGCTGCAGGCACACAGCTGCTCCCACTGCAGTCAGGTGTGGGCTCTGCCCCGTGGCTCTCCTCTGGCTCCCAGGAGCTGCTCTGTCCTGAGGAAGGACTCACAGCACCATCCTGGAAGTCCAGCCCTTTTCTGCCTAAGCTAACAGCAACCAATCAGGGTGTCTGAGGTGTGGTCTGAAACAGGACAAACCTATGGTGATCCATGTCCCTTCAGCTGCCAAGGATCTGCAGCCACCATCAGAGGCAGTGTGGTGTCCTATTAAAGGCAGAGTCACTGGGAGAATTCTGCTCCCTGCACACTGTCAACCAAGAGAATGAGCTGATGAGCAAGAGACAAAAAAATTTACCATATGATCCATATCTGTAAAGTGGTTCTGAGGTATTTGGGGTGGATGAGGTCCTTGAATCTTCCCCTTCTTTCCTGAAAATTATACAATAGAAAAAGAAGTTTCTATAAGGGCATCTTATATACAGGAGCAAGTGAGAGCAGTTGGCATGCCAAGTCCTCCTGTACTCCCCCTGTCCCCAGGCTGCCTGTGGCACAGAGTCACAGATGGTGCAACAGAGCACCCATCAAACCTCCAGAGAGTAAAGCCCTGCTTCCCCAAACATACCCACGGGAACCTGCACTGCAAAGGATAGAGGAGGGAAGAAGTGTGCATCCTGAGCTCTCCTGGCCCCAAAGGACCCCAGATCTGAGCAGTCTGGTCCCATTGTGACTGTGATGGTGCCAGAGAGGGCCCTCGTTGCTGGTGGGGGGCCAGAATTCTGGGCTTCTGTCAGCTCCCACTGCCCTGCAGGCTGCTCTGCCTGTGAAGCAAGCTTTTGGACACATACATCTTTCTGGGGGGCCTGAAATGCCAGTGAGCAGAGACTGGCAGGCACTGGGGTCCCTGCCTGGCCTGCTGCCCTCCAGGGTCCCACCACCGAGGGGAGACAAGTTCACAGGGATGGTGTAGGTTGACTTTATTTTTATTTTTCTCATCATTGGTTAAGCCTGAGAGAGGGCAAAACTAACAAAAGCCCTTCCCACATCCAGTGTAGGTCCATTACATAAATTCAATTAAATTACAGGGAAGCTTTAATCCTAAATAATTCCAATACAATAGCACCATCTTGCATGAATTGCTAAGGACAATACTTGGTGCCTGTGGGATTGAATATGCAGGAAAAAGATCCAGGAAAGGGATTTAAAAGAGTTGAATAATTTTGAGGCCCTGAACAATGGATTTGTCTTATCTCCCTGTCTTGGGGGTCAAAGGAACCACCTAAGTCCTCCCACCCACCAGTCATCAGGGCCCAGACTGGAGGATGGGGGACAAGTCTGGGGGGATACTGCCCCTCCCTGCAGCACCCACACTTGTTTTTGGGCATTTCAGTCCAGCAGCGATTCGCTCCTGAGCTGCTCAGCTGCTGATAGGTACACGTGATAGTATTGGTGAAATGGTCTCTCCTCCTTTGACCCTCTTCTGCTGGTTGGTGGCTCCACATTCAGGATCTGGGGTCCTGGGACACAGTGGACAAGCCAGGCCAGGGGCTTGGAGAAGCCTCTGGGAGTGCTGGGCTGACCTTGGCAGGGATCCTTGCAGCCTGCCCAGTCACAGCCCTGAGAGAGACCCCAAGGGACAGTTCCCAGATCTCATGGCAGAGGAAACACCCCTGAAGGATGGGCGGGCAATAAGGAATTGCATGTTTTGTCAGTAGCCCTTTCTGTGGAAAAGGAAGAAAATATTTCTTAGCCCAATATTTTTCTGAGCAAACACAAACTGAGAAAGAAAAAAAGAGCAGAAAATTCCATTCCATTTTGAAGGCCAACCTTACTGTTTCTCCAAAATAACACTGACATCTCCATCATTACTTTCAGCAGTTGTTTGGGAAAGAATCAGGAAAGGAGGACAAGAGAGACAGAGCAAGATGTGGTTGGTGTCCTATTCCCTCCCTAAAGCCCAGATGCCAGCAGCCTGGGATGGATGGGCTGGCCAGCCTGGCCTTACCTTGGCAGGCTCCCTCAACTGCCCCTCTGGCACGGCCGCTCTGTTCATCCTGGCAATCCTCTGCAGCGTGGCCAGCGCAGCCCCCGTGTTTCCCGTGGACACGTTGTACCGTGCCGACTCTGGGATGAACTGCAAGCAGAGCACGAAGCCTTTCTGCACCTCTCCTGCCCTACTCACAGCTTCACATCATGCCAGGAGCCTGCTCAGGTTGGCACAGGGCATTCCATGAGCTGGAGCAGCCTCTGTCTGTCCTTCTCTCCAGCCATGCCCCGGGGTACTCTATGTGCCCCAGCACCCCATTCCCCATGCTGGGGGGCTCACCCTGCCCCACAAACCCATTTGGTGGTCTAGCTCCCAGGGCTCTGCCACTTGATCGGGATCAAGCACTTATGAAAGGTGAAAGCCAAAGACACAAGTTTAACAAAAACAATCCTGAATTAATTGACATTCTTAAATGAGAAGAGGCACGTATTACTTGCTGAAGCAAAAGTCTTGGAAGGCACAACAAGGCCATTTTAATAAAAAGGAAGAAGTGGTTGAAATGTAACTCGTCACTAGCATTTGGTGCTCTTTCCAAAATAAAATACTTTTTAAATTAAAGGGCTCTGCTAAATTACAAACAATTACATCTATTTCACTCAAATATGAATTAAAGGCCCCCTTTTTGAAGGTATGTATATTAACTCTCTCTTTTCTTTTCCCCTGGATGACAAACTTCAGCTATCCAAATTTTCTGGCAAAAATAATCAGGGAAACTAAACATCCAGATTATACGAGTGCACGCTCACAGCAACCTTATATCTGCGTGCCCATGTAGCACCCCAGACGGACTTGTGCATTCATCCAGCTGCAGGAAGAGCTTTTACATCTGTATGGCCTCCAGCAGCCACAGCTCAGCACTGCAGTGCCCACGAGCACTGTAAGCAGGGATTTCCCACACCACCCTCCACAAACCAGATGGTTCTCATGTCCAAGGCTGGTTTTTCTGAAGCAAAAGGAAACCTGGGGAAACTGTGCTTTACCCTGGAACTCTGTGAACGCTTCACTGAGGTTACTTTCCTCAGCCCTAGAAAATGTTAAGACTGAAAAGAGTGTGCTGGGCCCAGCATTAGACTGAAGGTATTATTTGTCATTTTTTTAATACACTATTTAGCCTGTCTGCTTCTTGGTGCCTGTGGGTTTATAGAATAAACCCACAATCCCTGGGTACTGCTGGCAGCCTGGACACTGGAACCTGGACTGCTGGAGGGCTACAGCAAACCAGTAAAGGCAGGCCATCACCAGAAAGGTGGCATCTCCCAGAAGCTGGTCTGCAGCCCCACCAGGACTTCAGGACCTTACCAAGCTGCTGTGTGAGAGGACTGAAGAGGAGAAAGGAGGACACAAGAAGAGCCCTAGGATGAAGGGAGTGGAGGGCAATGGTGCTTGGGGAGACATCAGGGCAGTGTCAGTACAGCAGGGAGTGGAGAGTGGAGATCTTCCTACCTTGAACACCAGGATGAGAAGGATGCCGGGGATGGAGGCAATTCTGATCAACCACCGCCAGCCGATGGTTGGGTTCACCACTGATGCCAGGCCAATGATCAACAAGGATCCTGCCAACCAAAACACCTTTCCAAGGGAAAGCAAGGGGTTAGAACATGAACACGTGGCAATGATTTATTTTCTTCCCTTTCTTCTGTGGAAAGGGGAACTGTGCTAAGGAATGCTGAGGTTCAACTGAGCCATCCTGTGGCTGTCTGAGAAGCTGGGCTTGGGTGGGAGGAAAACGGGAAACACAGAAGTTTGGGGAAGGACAGTGAAGGTAGTCTTAATTAGCTCCAGGTAAAAACCAATAATTTGCTGTGGATACAATTGTACTTAAAGCCCCTGCTTTTGTCCTTTCAGTCACTTCTCTGCTAATGCTCATGCTCATGAATTTTCCTGTTGTCTAGGTCTCTTCAGGGAAGAGAGATTTGCAAGCACAGGATTCAGGAGATTTACAAGCTCAGAAGGCAAAACCAGGCCAGATTTCTGCTGCTGAAAGTTGGTGGCTCTCCAGTAGACTCAATGCCCAGCTATACCAACAGCCAATCTGACCTCTGATCTGCAAGTGCATTCCTTTCTGAAGTTCACTTGTTGCCATTAGGAGACACATCCTTTTCCAGGGGATCACCTAAGGGAGCTCAGCCACAAATCACAAAAGTGCAGCAAGTTCATGAATATCCTGTATACAGAAATAACACATTTCTGGGGAGAAATACAAGATTGTTCTTCCATAAATCTTTGTGTTTCTGATGACACTTTGGTAATGATGCCCTGGGATCAAGGAGACTGCAGTGAAAAGTAAATTATCCCTGACACAAAGATTTTGGTTCCACAGTGGGATGAATTTGTGCACTCAGTGGTGTCACCACTGATCATCTGCACATGCAGCAACTCCCCACTGCAGAAGTCTGCAGTAAGCAATGATCCAGCAAGTGGGCACAACCTTCCCAGCATGTGTCAGGCCAAATTTGGGACTATCTGTGCTAACCCTCCTGTGCAAAGGCCCCTGGAAGAACCTGAGCAGGGAGAGGAGCAGGACCTCACCTGGGAGTCACTACATAAACCACTTGCTATCTCTGGGAATCCCAAGAGGAGGGAGGGGGGATACATCTCAGCTTGGAGTGGGCTGGGAATGCCACCAGCTCCAGTGCCTGCCAGTCCATCAGCGCTGGCCCCATTAGACCAGGTAGCCCTGTTGTCAGTAGGACAACCAAGAGGCTGGGTGTCAGCCATCACTCAAAGTCCCTATAAAATGTTCAGAGCATCAAATTATTTGAGAAAATATTGTCTCTCTCCTGTGTATGTCTTTAATAACACAGATGCCACACTCTGAGGTGCAGGAGAGGGGACACTCGCTCAGACCCAGACAAGTGGGATTATTCTGGGAGAAGTGCTGATGTGCTGGAGACGTGGCTTCCAAGCTGTGGTGGGACAAATCTCCTGGGACTCGGATATAGAACAAACAGCAATGTGCTCACTTTTACCTGAGATAAGGGCAACATGTATCCCCGATATTTGGTGGGCAAAAACTCAGTTTTTATGATAAGTCTAGCAAAAGAAGGAAAAAAAAAAAGCAGAAATACAGTTGCAATGAGAATTTCCATACAAATCAAGTAACAGTTCACCTGGATTCATAGAATGAATACCATCCCTCTAACCATCCCTCTTCCACCTTGAGCACCCAGAGACAAGGAATCCCTGTCCAATATGCCTCCCACTCCAGCACCAAATTACATGCAAGGGAAACATAAGACACGAATCCTTTCCAACCCATGGATGTGGGATACAAGAAGGTAAACACTGCATTCTATACATCAGAAAACCTATGGGAAGGTCCTGTGGGGTGACTGAGGCATAGGCACAGTCACCCCAGCACAGGCATAGATGTGTTCATAGAAATGAACATTTTAGTAAAGGGTTTTTTTCCGTGAAATAAGGAAAACTCTGTTCCACTTTTTAAATGGTTGGCATGCCCTAGGGGCCTCGTGGCACAGGCATCTCTCAAGGTCCCCCGTGTGAATTGTTTTTCCTTAGCTGGACAGGGGGAGAGAGGTGGGAAGAGACCCTCAGTGGCTCCTTCTGTCTCAGCCAGTGAAATGTTTTATAAAATGTTCAATTTCCTTCCATCCTCATGAGGCTCATGAGCAGCCTCCATGGCAAGGGAATGGGGGCCCTCCTGTGAGGGAGGCTGTGCCAGCAGCTCAGCAGATGCATGACTTAAGTTCAGGTGCCTTCTCCCAACAGCACCTCTCTCCACTATGTCCTTTCCTTCAGCAAAGGGCTTTTGGGTCAATGTGACCAGTCTGTGACTTCGCTTTGTGGGCAGCAACCAGGCTTTAAGGAACCATGGATGGTGCTAAAATGTTTCATTTGTTTCCATAAGAGAGTCAACAAAAAACCCCCTATTTTTCCAGAACCCTGGTGAAGTGGTTGTTAATATTGTGAATTTGTCTTCCCCACATCCTCCTTTCTGCTCCAACAAGACAAAAACTTAATTTCAGTGGGAACATTTCATATAATTCAAAAATCATTTTCTACTTAAGCAGAATTGTTGTGACTTTTTTTTTTTAAGGAGGAAGCAGCCTTCACTCATCTGTTACCTGTCTAATTGTTTTTATATGTTCTTAATAATCCCTCTGTCACCAGTTTAATGTAAACCAGCTGCCTCCTCTATTCCAGGCCTCAGGAGTCCTTGGGAACTGCAAATTAGGTCAATTGACTGAGATTTAGTGAAATTACAGAATGGCTTTTTGTTTCAAGGTGATGTGGGAATTTGGTTCCTTTTCCCCTTCCAGCCCCTCCGTTGCCTTCTCTGGGAAGGCAGCTTGCACGGCCTTACCCTTGCGCGTGGCCCGACACGCCACCTCCTACCATGGCCCGCAGGAACACAAACCAGATGTAGGACGGGGCAAACGAGGTCAGCAGGGAGAAATAGGCTGCCCAGAGGAAGGAGAGCAGCAGGATCTGCAAAAGGGCAGGAATCAGGGTCATTAAAGCACAGGCTCAGCCAGGTGCATGGCTCCTGTGGAGTGCAGGAAAAGGATATGTAACCCCCAGCAGTCACTCACCTTCCAGCGGCCGTACCGGTCAGCCAGGAGCCCGAGCACTATGCTGAACACCATGTAGCCGAAAAACACCATCTGAGGGGAATTGGAACACAGTTGTGGAGGGTCTATTCCCAGCTACATGGGGCAGCTCTGCTCTCTGAGCTGCGGGTGAGCTGTGTGTTCTTAGGCCAGCAGGATGCCCAGAACCACAAGGGAGAGGCTTTCAGGGGATGGCTTCCTTTGTGTAGGTACTCACTGCTGCAACCCTCAAAGCTGGGGGTGGGTGGCAGGGTTTTCAAAATAAGAATGTGGAAGTGGGGATTTGCTTTGGAATTACTTGCTCTGAGGATCTGCTCTCATCGGCTTCATTTCTGATGTCTACAGTTGTGGCACTGTTCTTGGCTCTGTAAAGAGGCCTAGGAATTTGTTTGGTTTGCTGGGAAATGTGCTTTCCAAAACCCATGGTGGTACCCATGACTATGACCACATGGTGGATGACCTCTCTGGGGGGAACATGAGTCACTCACTGTCGTCACTAAAGCCACCTGCCAGTCTTGGAGCTGCCACTCGCATCGGATGAGAGGGGACACAACAGCTATCAGCATGATCTCCATGGCTTCAGCCACCTTTGGGAACAAGCGTGTGTTAGCAAGAAAGGGAAACCACAAGAATCCCACAGGGAAAAGTCTCTTAGTCCTACAAGGCCTGCAGCCATGGCAGTTCCACCATGTCAGAAGAGTCCTGTGAAGCCATGGTACCTCCACAGCGGTCTGAGCCCTGTGCCTGACCTGGGAGATCTTGGTGACAGGGAGGAGAGAAAGTTACACCTAGAAAGCAGGTACAGGTACACTGTGTATCTGGGAAGTTTGGAAAGAGTCATCCTTGGCAGAGAAGACTCTTACCCTGCTGGGTATTTAGAAGATCTTCAGCTATCTCTGGAAACCCTGCTGCTTTGGTTGGGTACCTAGCTGCAGATTCAGGCATCCAACATGAACTCTTAAAACTGTTTTTGGTTAAAAACACCATTGCTCCATTGCCTGTGTGCCCCCGTTCTGGCTTCAGTTAAGAATGAGCTGACTGTTTGCACACAGCTTCAGACTTTTTCACCTCAGCTGCAGCAATCTTCAAGGATAGACTCTCATTACATCTTTAGCCCAGCCTGGCCTCCAGCTTTTGCCCAAGTTCTAAAAACAGACACACAATTAACCCAAGACCCTGAAAGTTATGAAATTTTTCATGTAGCCAGGGGTGAGAAGATGCCAGGCCTTCTGAGCCAGATTGCACAGGATTTGGGTGCCATGGGGATGACATGAAAAATGCAACTGTGAAGCTGAACTTAACCTTCAGGCCCTAACTGAAGACATGTCCTGACAGTGCTCCAGAACAGGGGCCAAACCATGATGCTTTGGGCCAACCCGCTCAGCTTTGCCCTGAAATGGGTCTGATATCAACGGGACCAAAATCTACTTTCACCAAGGATGAAAATAGCAGAAATCCTGCTTGAGGAGGTATGTATGCAAAAAATGGGCTGGCAGCAATATGCACTTATGGTTGTTAATGCATGGCAATAATGAGAAAAATGAGAAGAAAGCTTTTTTCAGGCCAGCACAGATGGCTGCAGATACCTACCCCAGTGCTGCCCATGATGAGGAAAAGCATGATATGAAACCTCCCAAACCCAATGGTTTCCACAGCTTCTTCCACTGTAAATGTCTTTTGTCCTAAACATGAAAAGAAAAATAAGACACAAAACTGATCAGCAGTGAAATTGTACCTCATCTTCATAAAAAATTTCTCCTGCTCCTGTGGGACTGCACCAGGAAAAAGCCTGCAAACATCTACCAGCTTTATGTCCTGGTGGCAGGGCTCAACAGGGGGCTGCTGAAACAGCAGTCAGTACAAATGGAGAAAGGACAGCCTTGTACTATTTAAAATGCTTTTGAAACAGAGTAACATTTCAAAAATTATTTCAAGTAAATGAATCCTCAAATTATCAATATAATAAAATGTTTACACAAAGCACAGGCATGAGGAAAGCCAAGCCATCCAGTTCTTCCCACTGCCATCGGCAGCAGCTACCAGCCTGGTAGGTGTGGTGGGAGGGGAATGTAGGATGCTGATGTTGTGGTTCCATGTACAGAGGTTTTAAATGGCTGGAGTGGCACAACTGAGGACCCTCCCTCTACCCCAGCTAAACAAGGACCCAAATTTCTAGTCCTGTCAATAGAAACCCACCTTTTGGTGGTTCTTTTCTGTCTGTGTGGATTTCCTCCAAGCCAATAGCATTTTGTGCCTCTTTTGGTGCAGTGGCCATCTCAGCTCCTGCTGGGATCTGCTGTCACTGCAGGCAAGGCTAGGATTTACCTGTGAAATCTCAGAAGAGTCACCTGAGCAAGAAAACAGCAAGGCAGCTTCTTACACTGGAGTGGAAACTTTCAGATACAGTCAAATATGAATTTCATGGAGCTACTGGAAGATGTCCCTCCCTGTTAGGGTTTTGGTGAAAAACACATAGAAACATCACAGAGTAAGTTAGCTGAGCAGAAAGACATCAATCATCACATCACACTGGCTGTTTGTATGGAAAGTCCAGGGATTGCCTGAGGGAAGACTGGAGACCTGCTAAGGCAAGAGAGCATGTGACAACTTCCCCAGCTCAGAGGTCAGTGAAATGCAGTGCCAGTCTAAAAGACGCTGCATCTCCAGGAGTCAAGATATGATACAACCAGTAGTGGTTGCCCCTGCTGGAGGCTCCCCAGTGGAGCTGGGTTTGAGGGAACAGGAGAGGTGCTGCACTCTGCAATTACTCAGTGTGGTGGGAGCCCCCACTGAGGCACAGGCAGGTGACCCAGCCAGCTCCCTAACCCCAGGACCCTGAGGGTGGCAGGGGTAGCACTTAGGTCCTCACCCAAGCAGCACACAGCTTCCTGCTGCAAACCAACCCCTCTGCCTCATCCCTTGGCACACTAATCTCCATCCTCTCAGGGCATCCATAAACACAGCAATTCTGGATTGCAGCTGGAAGATGGATTCCTCTGCCAGTGTTCCTGGCTTTCAGCACTAGATCTTTTGATCTCACCACTGTTGCTTTTCCTCATCAGAAAAACTCATTTTAATCTCAGGGCAGGGATTAAGCACACTGATTGTTTAAACCCACAACCTTTCCTGCTGAGTGCATGCTCAGGCATGCAGAGGGGAGCTCAATACATCTGCAATTTGCTGACCCACTCTCCTTTGATTACCTCCCTTCAGGAGTGCTGGGCTTGGCCCAGGCTGTGTTCACAGCCAACCAGCAGAGACCAGGGAGGCTGCAGAGGGTGAGAGCTGAAGGGAATTAATGGCTGAGAGCATCTAATGAAAGATACAAAACTCCATTTGAGATAGAAGACAGGTGAACACAGAAGGCATGGAATTACAGTACTCCAGGATGGACACCTTGATCCTATACTGAGGTACAGTTAGAAGGAGGTCATTAAGGACTAATGGCAGATTAGTCAGCTGGGTCACATACACTGACCTTGCTGTCACAGATCATTACAGTCCAGCACCCAAGAATACGAAAAGGATATTGGCTACATCTGTCTCTCAGCAGTGCCCTCGGAGGCAGCAATAGCTGCCAGCAGCTCACAGAGCCACCAGCTGATTATGATGGCCGACAGCTAGGGACTATTTCCAAGCGGAACTGGCTCAACAGAAGCCAAACAAGGTGCTTGGAAGAGCCCATGGGGAAGAAGCAAAGATTTACTGCGTGTCTGAATCGCCAAAGGCTCTGCAATCACAAAATCTGTGCACCTGTTCTTCTCCTTTTCTGTTCCCCTATGACTAGGGACCTGCAAACACATTCTGCCCTAAGCTGCCACATCACACCTCTGTCAGCTTAAACAGACACTCTCCTCCAAAACGTCTGTGGCAGGCACAGCCCGCAGTGGTGGCAGGACAAGCATCACGGCCTGGGCCTTTGCCCACCCATCCTGATGCTGGGATGCCCTGCTATTTTTTGCCGAGGAGTCTTGGAGCATTTCACTGGTACCCACCCTGGGCTACCGGGATTCCTTCTGGGAAGTGCCACAACTCTTCCACAAAAAGGGAGGGAACCCCAATCCCTGGTGCTGCTGTGCAGAACACGCAGTGAGGGTCAGATGCTCAAGCACAAGGCTGCAGTGGCACCTCCAGCACCCCACAGTAGCCAGACACTGAGGCAGCAGGATGGTGCAGAGTACCTAATGTGAGAACAACACTGGTCTCTACCACAAATAAAACCACAAATAGCAGATGGTAAGCAGGTGGGATATACTCTCCAGCACCTCAAATAATACCAGAAATCTGTGCAGGCACAGTAAACCTCCTAACATTTCCTACCAAACCTGAGTTTTGTTCATCCCAAACCTTTGAAGCCCTGTTTGCCTTGATGGAGCAGCTATCTTCAGAGAGTCACAAATTTCCGTCTATTTGTAAATCCAACTAAACACCAATTGCATGAGTCAAAAGAACAGCAGTGACAAAGCTGTTGCTGGCAGGGAAAATAAAAATCCTCCAGCTGAAGGGAACAACCAAGAGTACAGTGAAACTGTTGCTGGGACCCATCAGAATGATGCTGTGACCCCCTTCCCACCCCTGCTGGGCTGTGAGGCACAAAGGCCACACAATGTGCAGTGCTGCCTGTGACAGCACCTGGGAACTCTGTCAGTAAGGTCAGAGACCTTCTCTGGCTGAGAATTTTCCCTGCAGGTGAGAGTGGGGCTATCTGATCAAAAAAATTATCAGATACCCCCAATATTAAACAAGATTTTACTAAATACTAAAAATATGTTAATATTTAGTGAAGCTTTCTTACCTCTGTGGTGTCTCAGGCTCAAAGGAGAAGACCTTTTCTCTCTTCTGACTGTTTCCCCTCAGCTATTTACTTTTTACAGCACTGGCAGCGCTGTTTCTTTGGGATCCAGCTCCCAGGAGTCAGGTTTCCTCCCTTCTGGGCACAGGCAGGTCCCTCTCCGCCCACCTCCACCACCCAGGGGTAGGTGCTGCAGGCAGGGTGCCCAGGTGCTGACCTGTGCTTCTCTCACTGCATCTGCAGGTCCTTCACAGGCACTGCCTGCCACAGGTGTTGGTCCTTACTCATCCCTTCTTGTGAGGACGACTCCAAGCAGGTGGAAGGAGGGTGCTGGGGCACATCATTATTGAAACACCAGCAAGATCTTAGCTCGTAGGTTTCAGAGGTAGGTCGTGCAGCAGTCAGTGCTCATGTAAGGCACCTTTGTCATCCCCTGCCTGGGCACTGCAGCCAGTGGCTCTTCTTAGGCCAGATAAAGCCAACTCAGGTACCAGCACCATGAGAAAAACAAGGTCTGCTTCATCCTTCTAAATTCCTCGATGAGGTGGCAAAATGCAGGGAGCATTCATGGCTTTAAACTGCCACAGGCATCCCAGCATTGTTGTGCAGCAAATCTCAGTGCCATGATAGCTGTGGGCTCTTAGCTAGGAATGTATGTGATGATCTTTACTACTCAGAGTTGGTATTGGTCTCACAAGGGTTTCCAAAATCCTTCTGTTTTGAATACATACACTGAGCTGGCAGCAATGGTGCAATAGTTTTATCAAAGTAACTCCCAAGCTGAATCTCATCCTTCCAAGCACCTGGAAGATATTTGCTACCAGCCAACATATGCTATCTCACAGCTTTATTTTATATGTTCTTCTTAATAATATCTAATATTCAGCTGTTATTGGCATCTGCTGAATGAGCTGCACGATCCAAGCTGCCAGATCCATACCATTATGTTTTCATTGCAAAAACTCCAACAGCATGTGTGCAATGACAGGAGGGTGTAGATGCTTCAGCATCTAGCTCCCCAGCAAAGAAGGGGAAAAAATTACCAAAATCCCAGTGAAGTTCAAAGCCACAAAGATGAGCTTTCAGGCCCAGGTGTTTGGGATTGCATAAAGGGATACTATGTCTATTACATTTTTCCAACCACCTCATGGTATTTTACTTATTTGCCATGGAAAGGCAAAGACTGGTCAGAGTGAAGAACAAATGGAAATGCCTACATGCATGAAAGGTCCAGGAGAAAAAAAAAAGAGTGGGACAGAGAAAAGAAAGGTCTCCATCCTGGCTAATGGAGAGCCACCATATAGGTAAAGACTGAGGAAAGTGCTGTTTTCTGGAGAAGCCAGAGGCCAAATCCCAAGAAACTGTTGACTCCTGGAGCTTCTGAAACCTCAGTCCAAAAGCTAGTTCATTATCACCAGTCCAGAGGACCTGAGAGACTGGACAAGAACTCAATACCCAGCTTTTTTAATCTTCCACATTACAAAGTTGTCCTGGTGGGAGGGCACAGACACACACAGAGCAATTGCTCTCACAAGAAGGAATAAAAAACTCAGGAAAGAATGGCTGTGCGTGATTAAAACCAGTTTGCTTGACTTCCTTTCTTTGTCTTTTCTTTCTACATGGTCATTCACTGAGCTTTGTTTAATGCTCATTCCTTACAAAATGACTAAAGTCATGCCACCAGTTCTCAGAAACAAACTACTCCCTGGTAATGGGATGAGCTTTGGGTCCAGAAGCACCCATTCCCCATAGGCACAGATCCTGAGTCTGCTGCAGAGGGCCATGCTGAGGTCCTGCCTTGGGTCAAGTAACACAAGCCACAGCTCTTCCAGCACTGGGTACAGTACAGTTAAAGACACTGGGCTGTTGTACCAAGAAGGTCTGTTAGTCTACAACAATGATCTCTGCTGGACCTGACCACACCTGATGGCCACATTCACAGAACCAGCTAAACAACATGTTCCACTCAGCTTAGCAGCTGTGCAGGGAACAGGCAGTCACTGCTCTACTCCAAAATCCTCATCTCCTGCAGGAAAACCTTTCAAAAGAAAAGCGCACTCTGGAACATTTGTAGGTTTTCAAAGAATTCTTAAAAAGAACCCAGATGAAATGCAGGGCTCTCTTCAAAGTGTACCAGTGCAACCCTGCCTCTCAGCAATCTGAATGCTTCTGGAATATTAGTGGGCTTGTTCCTCTTGTGGAGTGGGGAAGCATCATTCCCATATCACAAATGTTCAAGTGAGACACAGGCTGTGCTGTGTTATTTGGTTGCACACAGAAAGAGAGAGAACTGAATACAGATTTAAGCCCAATGTCTGAGTTGCTGTTCAGTACAGTAAACAACAGACCATCTTGTCACCTGAAGTATTCACAGCATAACTTGTTTTTCTTGCTTAAAATGTAAGCCTTAGACAAAGAGCAAAACACCAAGAAGCTGTGAAAGGAGCGGATAATCTGTTTCTGGTAATCATCTTCTCAGTTAC